CATTTTGTCATTTTTAAAAGATTATTAAAGCACTCGGTTTTAACATGATTCAGAAAGGCATAAGAAGGAATTCTCCCCCACCTTGGATGATGGCAGCCCTGTCCCCCTAATTGCTCAGGCAGTTGCCTCGGACTTGGTCTTGGCTTCTGTCTTTCTCACACCCCACATCCAGAATTTCAGGAAATCTTGGCTCCACTTTCAAAAAATACCCCTTTTCCTACCTACACTGCTGTCACTGCTCCGTGCTTCTATAATTGTGGCCACCTCCACCCCTCCAGTAATCTTTTTAAAACCCTAAGTTAAGTGATGTCATCACTCCACCACCCAGAACCTTGCAACAGCTCCCATATCATTTGGAATAAAAGCCAGTCTTTCCAGTGATCTCAACTCTGTTACTCTTTCTCTCTCAGGTAATCTGCTCCGGCCACAGGGGTCTCCATGTCCCAAGTGTACCAGGCACACCCTGCCCCAGGGCCTTTGCACTGGGGTTTAAACCTCTCTTCTCTTCCAAACCTTGGCTTACTCCAGCCCTCCCAATTTAAAATACTTCAATGACCCTCACCCATGCAGTGATGGGCATTTTCTACCCATTTATCCTGCTCTTTTTTTTTTTTTCATAGTCTTCTAACATAGTAGATAATTTATGTCTAACAAAGTAATTTATTAAGTGTATCTTTTATTTGTTGATTCTTCCCACTCACATGTAAGCTTCAGGAGGGCAGGCATCTTAATCTGTTTTCAATCACATATCCCAAGCATCTGGAAGACTACTTGTCAGTCATAGGTGTACAGCATATATTGATTGAATGATGTTCAATATATTGTTTAAAAATCTTTACCTTTCTTAATTTTTTGGCTGTTTGAACTATCCAGAAGGCATATTCAAATCTTCCTCTATAGTAATGGGTTGCCTCTTTTCCCTGAGGTCCTAACGGTTTTTGCTGTGTACTTCCAGGCTAATTTGGTACTTAAAATATGAATCCTATCTTCCTGGCTAACTGAACCTTTTATCATTATGTACAGGCCTTCTTTATCCTTAATAATACTTTTGTCTTAAAGTTATTAGTTTATCTGATGTTAGTAAAGGTCAACTAGCTTCCCAATAATTTTTGGTACTATTTAATATGTTTTTTCTGCTCCTTTCCACCTTTTTGAGTTATGTTTTAGGTGTTTCTCTTGCATATAGCTCATAGTTTTTCACTCATTTTGACAGTCTATTTTTAACTGCTAGTGTATGTATGCTTATTGGGATTATGTATATATCCAGATGAATTTCTACCTTTTACTTTCTATTTGTCCCATTTTTGCAGTGTTTATGTTTTCTTCTTTGCTCTCTTTTTTAAAATAATGAGTTTTATTTGTTTTCTTATTCTGTTTTTCCCCTTCTACTAGTTTGGAAGTTAGATACTCTGTTTCTGTTCTTTTAATGTTTGCCTTTTAAATGTTATCATGATACTTAAAGTTATATCTTACTCTCCTCCTGAATAATACAAGGGCATGTAACTTCGTCTGCTTCCCAACTTAAACTCTGTTGTTATTCATTGTTTATTTCTGTACATTTTCATCCCATGAATTAAGCATTATTACTTTATATAGGTGATGTTTACTTTATTTATCCTCATATTTACCAATTTATTTGCTTACTAATTCTTTTTGTATCTCAGACCTTCATGCATAACATTTACTTTCTGAATTATATCCTTGCAGTCTAAATAATATGCTACTAAAGCTTATCCATTTCCTTAGTGAGGTCCTTTGTCGGTAAGTTCTCGGTTTTTGTTTCTATGGAAAAGACTTTATTTTGCTCTCATTTTTTGGAAGATAGTTTCAGTGGCTCTACCCCACGTGTGTTTTTTCCAGTACCACAAAGCCGTGAATTTTGACACTGCCTTCCTGGAGACAGCACCAGACCCCATGGGTTAATAAGGGATCTGTCCCACAGACTGCCCTCCCTTCAGGCACCAACTACAAGCCCAGGCTGTCACCTGCGCTGCTCACCTACTCCCTCTAAATCGGAGGTTCCATGACCTCCTCCTCAGGTTTGATTAATTTGCTAGAGTGGCTCACAGAACTCAGAGAAAACCTTTATGCACATTTACCACTTTACTGTAGAGGATATTATAAGAGATCTGGATGAACAGCCAGGTGAAGAGGTACATAGTCCGAGGCCCAAAAGGGTCCTGAGCACAGGAGCATCTGTCCCCATGGAACTGGGGTGTGCCTTCTCCTTGCGTGTGGATATGTTCACCAACCCAGAAGCTCACCACGTCTTGTTCAGGAGTTTTTATGGAACTTAATCTCTGGCAACCTCCTTCCCCTTCCCTGAGATCAGTGAGCAGGGCTGAACGTGCCAAAGTCGTACTTACTTGGTCATTCTGGTGACCAGCCCCACCCTGAGTCACCTCATTAGCATAAATTCAGGGGTGTTCAGAAAGGGCCTCTTATGAACAGCAGAAGATATTTCCTGTCACTCTGGAAATTCCAAGGGTTTTAGATTTGTGCCAGGAACCCGGATAATGGACCAAAAATATACCACAGTATACAGTTTTATGTAAACAGTCCTTTTTCACTTTGAAGATCTACCACTGTCTTTGGGCTGCCAGTTTTGCTGTTGAAAAGTTGGCTGTCCATCTGGTTGTCATTCCTTCTTTGTGTTCTGTCTTTTCCCTCTGGCCACTTTTCTCTTTGATTTTGGTATCTTCAGTCTAATTACAGTGTATCTAGGTGTGGATTCCTTCTTAGACTATTTTGTGTACATTGCATATTATGTATCCATAGATTTATAACTTCCATCAGTGGTGGGAAATACTCAGCCATTATATTTCAAATATTGTCTTTTCCCCCTACTCTATCCCCTTCCTCTAAGATTTCATGTAAACTCACTCCAAACCCCCTGTTGTAACCATTCTTCTTTTTTTTTCCCTTCCTTAATCATTCTTTTATATATTATATTTTCATTCTTTGTGGATTCTGGGTAACTTCCTCGGATTTCCCCTCCAATATACCAGTTATCCAGTCTCCTGCCGAAGCCCTAGATGAGGGGCTGTTTTTGTTTTAGTTTCTGTTCACCAATTATAGTTTTCATTTTGTAAAAGCTTTATTGGATTCTCTTTCAACCTGACTGGTCATTTGGAAAGTCTCATAGTTTACTCATTTTTACCAGTCCATTTTTTACTTCTTCATACATTTTACACATGGGTTTTTTTCTTTTCTGTATCTGATCATTCTTTTTTTTTTTTTAAGATTTTATTTATTTATTTGGCGGCGAGGGGGCGCAAGAAGAGGGAGCGGGAGAGGGAGAAGCAGACTCCCCACTAAGCAGGGAGCCCAACATGGGGCTCAAATGCAGGACCCCAGAATCATGACCTGAGCCAAAGGCAGATGCTTAACCAACTGAGCCACCTGGGCGCCCTGTATCTGATCATTCTAATAGCTGAAGTCATGAAAATAATTTTTGTTTCTGCTGAATCCCACTCTCATTATCTTTGTGCACTCACTTTTGGTTAAACTAAATCTGTGGGACTCCTGGAGGCCTGCACTGAAGATGCTTTTCCCCAGACACCATTTGCATTTACTTCCACCACCTGTTGGGACTCCTTTTACTTCCTTCAGGTGTCCTCATTTAAGGTTTGAAGTGTTTGGTTGAGCTCCCCAGCTTTCCTTTGACCCAACTAAATGTCGAAATTGGTATTTATTTTCAGAGAAACTGCTCTGTTCATGCTTGCTTGATAGTCATCACATTCCCTGTGGATTAAACTCTTTTTAGAAGAAGGAAGGCATCTTGAAGATTTTCTCTACATTCTAGGAACCCAGCAATGTGTTAACCACTCTGCTTTATCAAAGAACCCATTTTTTTCTTTGTTTTTGTAACTGAGAACCCTTCTGAGAATCTTCTGGAATTTACTGGAAGTATAAATCTTTAAAGTGGTTTTTATTAGTAGCAACGAGGGAGGTATAGCTTGGGAGCCAAGACAGAAAAAATAATTAACCAAGAGAAAGTTCAACCTTTTCAAAGTCGTGTGTCAAAAGCTGTTCCTGCCATTCACTGAAACTCAGAACTTGGTCCAACCTTTTGTTTTCTTTTTTTTTAAGATTTATTTATTTATTTATTTATTTATTTATTTATTTATTTATTTTAGAAAGAGAGAGAGGGAGAGAGAGAATCCTATGCAGGCTCCATGCCCAGCATGGAACCTGACGTGGGGCTCTGTCTCATGACCCTGAAATCATGACTTGAGCCGAAACCAAGAGTCAGATGCTCATCCAACTGAGCCACCCACGCGCCCGGGTCCAACCCTTTGTTTTCTGCAACCACATCTTTACTTCTGGTCTTGACCCCTCTCAAGCCCATCTCCCTCTTACTTAGTCCCAGGGCCATATGTCTCCTTCCCTTCCTTCATGAAGGCTGCTCTTTTGGTAAATTTATGACCCGCTCCAAAACTTATTTTTAAATTTAGTTCCTGTAAGAAAGGTAAAGATCACATGAATGACAGTGTTGCTTTTTGAGTACCCGAACATTTAAAGAAATGGTCACATTCATTAATTCAACAAATATTTATGTCAGAAGTTGAAAAGCCCTCTTTCTCAGATGGTATTTTCTTTACAGGGGTAGTTGTCCTGGACATGTGGTCAAAGGAGCTCTGGGCTGAGGCTCTGGAGGGGAAGTGGGAAGTTAAATGGGAGAAGCAGGGATAGCTGGCCATGAGGGTTCACCCTCCAGGATTCCTCCCTTGCCACTGCCCCCCAGAGGCCCCCCGCAGGCCCAGCGGTGGACCCAGATGAGCAGTGGGAGTTGGAGCTGGATGTGAGTTGGAGGCAGTGGCAAATCCTGAAGGGGGAGTGAGGAGGGCAGCAAGAAAGATGGATTGGGATAGGAGCAGAAGGAAGGTGGGCGGGAGGTTCTTGTGTCTACCGGGTTTTCTTCCTGAGCTCCTTGTTCAAGTCAAGCACTTTCCATGTCGATAGTAATAACCTGTGCCATTTATTTTGTATTTTTCTAGATCAATGAACTGAGCCATGTTCAAATCCCTGTTATGTTGATGCCGGATGACTTCAAAGCCTATTCAAAGATAAAGGTGGACAATCACCTTTTTAACAAGTAAGTACAAGTATGGCCTTTTATAGGACTGACATGGCTGCCAGGAGCATGATTTTTGTGAATTTCTACAATCACATTATTTTTCAATGGGTGGGAGTAAAGTTTTGCTGATGAAGTTAATCCTGTGATAAACATAACCATCTGTCATTTTCAGAAAAGCAGCAGTAAGCCCTCTTGGGTAATATCCTTTTGCCATATGGCATATTGTTCTCTATGAATATCTTATATGTTAAAAGTGATATTCTCATTACAATTTAAATGTTTGAAGCTGTAAATTGCTTGGAATTTTTAGCAGCTATGGACCTCAGCTATCTTATACAAAACTCTAATAATGCCTATTTCATGAATAGGAATGACTCCTTCATAGAACAATAAAGAGTTAAGGTACATTTTTATAAAACATAATTGGAGGCCATGTTGGGCATTGAGATTATTTCTCCTTCATTTGAATGTCATTTTAGATATTATGGAGCACCTTATATATTAGCTGTCCCCTGAAAGCAGGAGGGACAAGGAAGTATAAGAAATGGCCTTACCCTCACGGGGCTCACAGGCAGGTGGTTGGAACCTGACACATATACACATTACTATAATCCGGTGTACAAAGTATGACAGTAGAGGGGTGTGTGTGTGTTTGTGTACATGTACATGTACACAAAGGAGGAAGCAATTCCGAATGAGTGGGATGAGCCTCCAAGAAATACCTCCCACATGAGGATCAATTATAAAATTTCTTAGTGTGACCATTGTTCTGATGTGAAGTGGATGCATTAATTCTCTTACTACTGTTTAGAGGTTGACCTTTTGGAGGGATTTTTCCTATGTGAATTTAGAATGTGGTATTTATATATAGCATAAAATAGATCATTCAAGGAGTGAGAGATAGTGTTGTTTTGCAAGCTTTAATCAGCAAGTCCCTGGAGGAGTGTGGGGAGCACGTCTGTGACCCGTCCCCAGTCCCCCAAGTTCTTTGCTGTCCCTTCACCGTTTCCTTCTGTGTGTGTGGCCCCTTCTCTTTCCACTTCTTCATCCTCGGGGAAGCAGCTGTAAGGAGTGGTCGGGATTAGAACTGTCATCTAGTCCCAGGGCCCCTAGATGGTGCAAGGAGATAAATGTGCCCAGTCTGTCCCTGTGTCCCCTGGATTTACTGTGGGTCATAGTCGATCCTATGAAGCATACCCGTGCCTTCTGGGGGTGGGGAACTCCAGGCACTTGGCTACATGTGGAACTAGATGGTGGCAGATTCAGGTCTGGTTAACATTTTGTGCAGCTAAACTTTATTCCACAATATGACTATTTCAGAGAAAATATGCCGAGCCACTTCAAGTTTAAGGAATACTGCCCGATGGTTTTCCGTAACCTGCGGGAGAGGTTTGGCATCGATGATCAGGATTTCCAGGTGAGTTGCTTTTGTAACCTTTGCTTCAAATGGATTTTGCTCTGTAAAACAGGACTTACTTTTTTTTTTTATTACAAGTAATTATATAATAGTAATTTCATTTTATATAAGAATGTTTCAGTGTTCTTTCTGAAGTAAAGGGTTCTTTCACTTAGGAGCCTCTGTACAGAATGATTTTAGCAGTCAGTAGGAAAAGATTATTCTTTGGGAAGAGAACACATGTGAGAGTTCTAGATGATACTCTCATTTCCCAGTGGAAGCGTCCTGCTAGCAGACCTCCTTTTGATTTCTGCCATCAGATGCGTCGACGGCCTGTGCTACTGTGTATGTGAGTCTTGAATTCCCAATTCCTGTATTTGCAGAGGCCACTTAGCAACCATAGGAATTTTATTTTTGTTCTGATTGATCTGCTGCTTTTCAAACTGGCCGAACCTGACTCCTGCTCGCAGCATTTTGTCAGAGGCCACACCTGGTTGCGCTGTGATGCGTCCTGGTCTAGTGACCGCAGAGCTACTGTCACCAGCAGAAGCCTGCCAGTCCCGGGAACGGCCTGGGGAGCGTGCGCGTCTGCTCCTCGTGCCCACCTCAGGAAAATGTGCACTTTTGCTTTTCTTCCTATGCATGCCTGGTTCTTAAATTCGACTTTTAAAATTGAGATCACGGTGCTTCAGTAAGTGCTCATCCATGGTCATTTCTCCTAAGAAAGGACCTGACATCAGTTAGCCAGTCAGATTTGTAAAAACCAAGGATTTTTTTTTTTAAAAGATTTTATTTATTTATTTGAGAGAGAGAGAACACGAGTGGGGAGGAGGGGCAGAGGGAGCGGAACAAGCAGACTCCCTGCTGAGCAGGGAGCCAGATGCGGGGCTCGATCCCAGGACCCTGAGATCATGACCTGAGCTGAAGGCAGATGCTCAACTAACTGAACCGCCCAGGCTCCGCCCCGCCTCAAGGATTTTTTTTTTAAGAGTAGAAAATCTGAGTTAAGAGATGCAAGGGCTACTTTCTGGTCTTTTAGGACGGTCTATTCATTTTACTGTGAAAGCACTGACTTATTTTAAATCCCTTCAAATCTAGTAAACACTTTCTTTCATTTACCCCAAATCTGAAATCCTCATTTATCCGGCATTAAGTGCCATATTGCCACCTGGAGTGACCTTACAAGGTGAACATCGACACAGCTTACCCTGTATTTTCCCTTAAAGAATAGGGTCCCTAAGGCAAATTGAGTTTAGTTTGGTACACTTCCCTAAAGATGTGTGGGCCTCCCCACCCTGCCCGGCCCCACCCCATTCTTGAGTTTCCAAGAATTTCTCGCATGCTCACTAAGGTTTACAAGAAGCTTCCAAGCTGCCAGATTTCGAATAAGTGTTGCTAGCCAGGCTGCCAGTGACATTCCCTCTTCTGTGGACCAGGGCTGAGGTTTCCACAGAGGTGAGTTCTGAGCAGAGGCTTGGGTGCACCCCAGAGAGGGCTGAGGATAAGTGGGACAGGGTAGAGTGGGTGCTCGCTTTGCTTTTAAAAAACTGGTGGAGCCAGCACTCAGATTTGGGCCTCATGTGTAAGAGAAAGAATTTCAGTCAAATCTAGACTTGGAATTTAAAAAAATAAGTCACTTTTATTTATTTATTTTAAGATTTTTATTTATTTGAGAGGGAGAGAGAGAGAGAGAGCGCGCACAAGAGCAGAGGGAGGGAGAAGCAGACTCCCCGCTAAGCAGGGAGCTCAACTTGGGACTCAATCCCAGGACCCGGGGATCACGACCTGAGCTGAAGGCAGATGCTTAACCAACTGAGCCACCCAGGCACCACAATACGTCACTTTTTTTTTTTTAAAGATTTTATCTATTTATTTGAGAGAGAGAATGAGAGAGAGAAAGAGAGCACATGAGAGGGGGAAGGGTCAGAGGGAAAAGCAGACTCCCTGCTGAGCAGGGAGCCCGATGCGGGACTTGATCCCAGGACTCCATGATCATGACCTGAGCTGAAGGCAGTCGCTTAACCAACTGAGCCACCCAGGCGCCCCTCGCAAAAAGTCACTTTTAAAGAACAAATTTTGGAATAGTAAAAAAGGTTGTATAAAATAAACAGAAATGATTCTACATTATTTAAGAACTGTTTAATTCATTTAAAGAGGCCATATGAAAATAAACAGTGCTTTAAAGGAATGAATAGCTGACAACTTTGATGTCCTAAGAAAATCTCCTCTGCCTCTGATTCCCATGTTAAACTCGTGTGTTCTTCCCTCTGTCCCTCTCCTTTTTTTTTTTTTTTAAATTGGCTACACGGGCATTTCACAGAAACTGGCTTTTGAGGGCCTATGCTACAGGATCTTGTTAGGTTCCTCAATTCATTACCAAAATGAAGTTCTTAAATTTCTTCCCATAATCAGCCTGGTTAAGTGAGATTTGAAATGGACACTTTACAGCCTGAAATCTGTACTGCAGCAGATGAAAGTCATTTTTAAAATTTCCTAAAATGACCAGTTTAGTTGCAGAAATACCAAGATACGAGCCAGTTTTCCTTCACCTTTTCCCCCACTAAAAGCAAAACCATGTAACTTGATATTAAATAAGTGCAAATTGCTTTGTACCAACTTTAAAGGCAAATCAGGCAAGTAGAGGATGATTCACGTAACTAACTGGCAAGTGTCTGAAGCTCTTAGCAGGAGAGATCAGTGTAGAGAGCTGGTTGTGAGTATAATTAATCATTTGAACGCCACTCCTCTCCTCAGCTACGCCCAGTGCTTTTGGCATTGAAATTGCTGCTTTCTCTTTGGCAACTGTATTTCTATTCAAAAAAAAAAAACAGGTGGGTGTTTAGTAACTTTAGTAAACCAGAGATATATGCTGGTTTCCCTCTCCAGCCCCATGTTCCTTTCCCAAGGTCTCTACCTTTTAGAAAATTTTCAGTAGGGGTAGGCCCCGGAGTTTAAGCTGAAGACCAGATCATGGATGTGATCTTGGGCTCCACTCCCCACTTGGTTGGCCACTTGGTTTGGAAAAATGGAAGAATTGTGCCGGCTCTTTCTCTGAGTTCATACCTTGAGGGCCGCTGGGCATTGCGGGGCTGAAGGTGGAGGTGCTGTGGTCCTGGGAAGGTCCTGGGAAGCCCCGCCGTGGGCATAGGCCAGGGCTAGGGGGGCTGTTATCCCAGCTGCTGGGCACATCAACTCACCACTGCCCAGACATTGCACTGATCATGGCCAGAACAAGCAATGTGTATCAGTTGACATATGTAGTACCAAATTAAATACTCTTTCTCCATCTGATTTGAAAAGTGAGATCAGTGACCTGGGGTCTGATCATCTTTTGACGGCACCGGATTGTTAGAGGGGACCAGGTCTCACACTGCTTTGCTTTGCCTTGATGTGTTGATTTGTCTGAAGTGCCTGCTTATTGGATGAGCAGCATTAAATCAATGTGGCGATAAGGAGCTCCGCTGTCTGGTTCATTTAGTATTCAGACCTTCACATTGAATCAAAGGGATAAAGGCTGTCTACCTGCCTTATGTGTGTGATGTCCTTTTGCTGCATCTGAAAAAAGTATTGATGAATCTGATACAAGTGGAACATGGTAATTAGCCCACCTCATTGACCTCTATCAGCAAACTTCAACTTCTTGAAAAGAATTGAAGAGCATTCCTACTGTAAACATTTGTATCTTTCCCCTGGTTTTGGTTTCTTGAATGTCCTTTAAAAATAAAACTTCTTTTTCTTGCTGTTAAAGACAAATGCAAGCAGTGGTTCTAGAATATTCAGCATTAATAATAGTATCACTTAACATATGTACATATAAACCTCTGTGTAGGTATGTCCAGTGCTTTCAGATTCAGAACTTTCTCCAGTTTATTAGTGTGTCTTAAAATTACTTCACTGGTTTATAAGAGGCTCAGTGTTGAAGTATGTTCTTCTGATCATTGTCGGGCCAGTGGGACTCGGCATTACCGTACTTTTAAGATAAGGCATCTTTTAAGATGAATGCACCCATGGAGGTCCCCACTATTCCTGACACCGTTTCTGCCTCCGCTGCCCCCTGAAGCGCTGGTGCCCCTTCGGTGGAGGATTTCATGCACAGTTACCACTTGGCATTTGTTTATTTGTACCTACTGCATGTCAGGCTCTGTGCAAGACATTATAGGGGGTGCAGAAGGGAAGAAAGGGCGAAGGAATTCGTTTTTGTTTAACTATCCTATATCAGATTCTGTATAAGATGCTAATGAGATTTACAGAAACCCAGACATCTTGATTTTTACCATACTCCAAGAAAATCTGCATCCCTCTTTCCAGTCTCTCAGAGTATCAGAACCTCTTACAATAGGCTTGGCAAGTCAAAGGGAGGCGTCACTTAAAGTTTCTGAGCTGCAGGAGAGGATTGCCCACCAGAAACCAAAAAGTTCTACAAGATGGAGATGATGCAGTTAAGCCTCAACCCACCACATAATTGAAACTGAGCCCTCTTGTTCTTCGTAGAGGATAATACCAGGTTTACTTTTCCCCTACCGTGTCTCCTGAATTAGAATCCCTCATTATTTGCATTCGATGCATCTTCTTCTTTGTATTTGTAATGGAGAATTCTAGTTTTAAAATAATTAAATTTAAAAGCTAACGTTTTAAACTTTTGATGTTCTAGTTTCAAGTTTAAAAATTAAATGTTAAAGTGTTAAGACCTTGAGAGTATACAGAACTTTGGGGGAAAAAATCTGCCGGTATCTGTAGAATACAGAGCCTATCACTGTGTTTTCAAGTGTAGATTTCCCAAAAACCATTTAAACTGTCTGAGGGCAGGGACTGAGTCTCATGTGTCTAGGGGTGCAGGCCCAGAGTTTAGCATCAGCCTGGCTCGGGGCAGGCACTTAGGAAATATCTGTGGCAGAAAAGGAGGAAGGCCTTGTGGGGGGGGGGTCAATCCAGGGAAGCGAACCTTCTAGGCCAAAGCATGGTGGCCTTCGAGCTCAGGAAATGCGAAGCAACTGGATGGTGGTGGGACTGTGGAGGTAAAG